ACTAACACATATATAGTTTGACAGTTAGGAGTGCACAGTGATGTTTCAATAATTACTACCGTCATACCCCGGATAGAAGCGCATGCCTCGGATAAGCGCCGGCGCTTATAAAAGGATGACGGCGCTTGTATCCGGTCCTCGAGTATAAGCCCACCCCCCAAAATATATGTTATAAGCGCATGTTGGTTTTTCATTTGAAAATCTGTCGAAATACAGAAACGCATTTTGTCAAAATTCTTAGCAAGGCTTAGGAGCCATAGCTAATGAGGTAGGAAGTTGAGTTCGAGTTGAAGGAGAAGTGTCGAGAGAATGAGGGGGTTTCACTATAGGTTCAAGGGTACAAATATGAGAGAACAAGCAAGAAAGGTGCACCACCGAATAGGAAAACGCTATAACTACAGTAACCAATCCTACAGGCAGTTATATATAGAAAATATTAAATTATATTTTCCGACACGCCCCCATAACTGGCTGTAGGAGATGAGTATGCAGTTAGCGCCCTCTGAAGGGGTACATCACGATTGCGCAGGAGGAGAAAAGTGTTTCAATAATACCACTCCTCTGGCTCCCCCACACCCTCACACCCTTCCACCCTCCCCCCCAGCAGCAGCTGCAGTAGTGGGAACGAAAGGAGGAGGCGGGCTGGCGCTGGCTGGTCTCCCACTCCATCCCCTCACCCTCCCCCTCCCCCTCCCCTTCCCCCTCCCCCACACACTGCTGCAGGAGCAGCAGAGGGGGGGAAGAGAGGAGAGGTGGAGGGACGGCTGCTGGGTGGTCTCACACCCGCCACCCCAGTGCCACTCCCCGGGCTCCCCCACACCCTCACACCCTCCCCCCCAGCGGCAGCTGCAGCAGCGGGAACAAAAGGAGGAGGAGAGGGGGGGGGGGGGGGGGGGGCAACGCACGGCCTCCCCGGGCGCCAAAGCAGGCGGCAGAGGGGGCGACGCCTCCCCCCCCCTTCCAGGTCGCCCCTCCTGGCACCTGTCGAGGTGACCTGAGGGGGCCGCTTGCGGCCCCCGAAGGAGCCGCGACGGGTGACGGGAAAAGGGGGGGTGGGCGGTGCACGTGCCCCCGGTGTGCCGCGGCTGGCGACGGGGCATGGCCGGGGCGGGGTCGGGGCCGCAAGTGGGCGGGGCCGCAGGTGGCATCGGGGCCAAAGTGGGCGACGGGGCCGCAGGTGGCGACGGGGCCGCAGGTGGCGGGGCCGCAGGTGACGACGGGGCTGGGGCCGCAAGGAGGCGACGGGGCCGGAGGTAGGCAACAGGGCCGGGGCCGCAGGTAGGCGACGGGGCCGGGGCCGAAGGAAGGCGACGGGGCCGGGGCCGCAGTTAGGCGACGGGGCCGTAGGGCCGCAGGTAGGGGATGGGGCCGAGGCCGCAGGTAGGCGACGGGGCCGGGGCCGCAGGAAGGCGACGGGGCCGGGGCCGCAGGTAGGCGACGGGGCCGTAGGGCCGCAGGTAGGCGACGGGGCCGTAGGGCCGCAGGTAGGCGACGGGGCCGGGGCCGCAGGAAGGCGACGGGGCCGGGGCCGCATGTAGGCGACGGGGCCGTAGGGCCGCAGGTAGGCGACGGGGCCGTAGGGCCGCAGGTAGGCGACGGGGCCGCTGAAAGGGCGGCGACGGGACCGCGAAAAGTAGGGCAAGGGGCACGTCACGGGGCGTGCCGAACACAGATTAGCAGCGGAAGCTGTAGGGTGGGCCCACAGGTCAGGACCTTGGTAGCTCTGATAGCATGTCAAAACTCTTAGCAAGGCTTAGGAGCCATAGCTAGTGAGGTAGGAAGTTGAGTTCGAGTTGAAGGAGAAGTGTCGAGAGAATTGACAAAATTAGACTACCGGGACAACGCCCCGGACTACAGGTGCTGCGGACAACAAGCTGGCAGCCTCCACTCAACCTCCCGCAGACAGTCCCACCCCCCTGATACACACCCACTGCTACACCGCTAGCTCCACTCCCACGCACCCCCCTTAAACCCTAAACCCAGTCTCCCACACATCCACCCCCCTCAGCGACAGCTGCAGCAGTGGGAGACGAAGGAGGAGGAGGAGCAAAGGGAGGAATACACACCGGCCACCCCCATACCCGCCACCCCACAGCTCGCCCCTCCCGTCGTCTGTCGAGGCGACCTGAGGGGGCCGCTTGCGGCGACGGGGGGGGGGGGGGGGGGGGGCGGGGCCGCGACGAGTAGGGCGACGGGCCGCGAAGGAAAGCGGCGGGGCCGCGATGATGGGGCGGTGGGGCCGCGACAGGTCAGTGGCGGGGCCGCGACAGAAGGTGGCGCGGCCGCGACCGGAGGTGGCGGGGCCGCGACAGGTCGGTGGCGGGGCCGCGATGGTGGGGCGTCGGGGCCGCGACAGGTCGGTGGCGGGGCCGCGATGGTGGGGCGCAGGGCTGACGTTTCAAATTAGGCCTCCCTGAATCCGGGAAAAAATTTCCCCCTGTATTATGGGTGCACATTTTTCAGAAAAACATCACCCTGATTGCTCAGTGTTGGGAAGTTTTATAGCCTGATTGCTCAGGGTTGAGAAGTCAGGATCAGGGCTAGTAACGCGCTGTGCATTATCGAAATTTGGTATGGTTCGTGTATTTAGATCTTGTGTGGATTTGATGACCAATCAAATTGGACAACCGTTCGTTCTTCAGATTTCTGGTTGCGCATTGTATGTGACAGGTGATTTGGACCCGAGTTGACTGGTCACATCACAGCACCAGCGTCAAACTGTAGCAAATTCGCGTTGACAAAGTGCATTCGCGCCGTACAGTACAGAGCAACAGATTCGCCCAATCACAGAGAAATGGCCCTGGCACAACAGCCGCTGTCAGAGCACAACCATTTCGACCAATCACAGCAACATATATCTGGCATTGCAGATTCGGCCAATCTCGATGGTGGGTGGGTGTATTATTCAAAATTTCCGAGAAGTTTCGTTTCGATAAAGTGGTGGAAGGGGGATTCCGCACAGGGGGGGTGCTGCGATGCGATCAATCCGAAGGCGAGGTTATCGAGAGGAAATTTCGGAGAAACTTCGTCCCAATACCCTCGCATTCAGGGTCCACGGAACGCATACCCTGCATAGACAGAGTCCGCAAGTACACTACTCTGAGCCTAGTTACAAGAATTCAGAGTCCGTTAAGTAGCTTGTCTGATTGGATCAGAGTTCACAAAATACAAAACATGTGTTTGCAGGGACCACCAAGTCAGAAGCCTGTAATCACCATGAAATCAGGGTAATTACCCTGATATCGTCAGCCCTGGTGGGGCGGCGGGGCCACGACGGGTCCCCGTCGCCCGTCGCGGCGCCTCTAGAGGGCGACGCGGCGAACGGCGGGGCAGAAGCCCGCCGCGCGCCTCGGGGCGCACGGCGGGCAGAGAACCGCCGCGCGCCTCGGGGCACACGGCGGGCAGAAAACCGCCGCGCGCCTCGGGGCGCACGGCGGGCAGAAAACCGCCGCGCGCCTCGGGGCGCACGGCGGGAAGAAAAAATGGTAGCGGAAGCGTGGAGGTGGTTTTCATTTTATAAGCGCCGGCGCGTATAAAATTCCTCGATTATAAGCGCACCCCCTAAAAAACAGCGTTTTTTTTATTTCCCCAGGGGCGCTTCTATACGGGGTATGACGGTATTCGTAACAGTTCCTATAATCCAGACTAGCTCTGATACCATGTTAGAGTAAAGGACCTTTGGATAGGATAGGAATGCCTTAGAAGAGTTTAGTAGCGGAAGTCTTAGTTGTAGGAAATCTGATCATAATGAATGTAGATGACAAAGTTGATTAAAATAGAGATTACACACATGATGAATTGTTCCTAGCTAGCCATGTATTCTGAGGGGTACATTCCCTTATTCTAACTGTTTTACAGGCATTTCTATAGTGACTCTGACTGTTGTACTACTTTCTTGTTATTGAGTCGCTGCATGTAACCTGTACATACGGTTACGTCTGTTGCTATTCCTCGATGGTAAGTCAAACGTCGGTCCAGATGGTCAACAGTCACGACAGTTGACTCTTGCGACTCTTAAGTGTAATTCCCTTCATGCTCCATTATACCGTACATAATGGTGTACATAATTGTGGTATGCATGATTGTAGTGGGTCCATGGCAATGAAATGTTGCCCATGTGCTAGATTGGTAACGCTGATTGGGAGGGGAACATACTCGCCTTGTATGAATTACATGAAATGTTGCCTTTCGTTGTAGGATGGTGGTCGTTCATCTGTACATTTTTCACCCAACTCTTGACTCATTACAACACCAAAATAATGAAGGTGCATGCCTTGCTGGCGACAGCACTATCGTTGTTGCTACTGCAGGTGGCTCCCCATATCTCCGAGCCTTGTTGTTACATGCCACAGTGGTACAGTCGAGGTTGGGTGGTGAAGTGAATAAAATCTCTGAAGAAATTCAGCAGTTAGATCGGAGTTACTAGAGTATTGTTGTGGTATCATCTTAAGTGAATGTTACTGTAGCATAGTACCGTTTCAGAGTCGATTCGAAAAAAAACCTCAGCGATGGCTTATACTGGGCTACCATCCTAAAATCAAGCTAACATCTCATAAAAGTGGCCAACGGAGCTACCAAAACTGCTGGAAATAATGCTGCCGTTGATTGGCTCGCGGCGCCTGGCGTCAGTGGATTTTATCAAGCAACCTGTCAGTCACTCCCATCCCATCACAGGCAACAGAAAATCTGGCTTTGGTTTGGTGCTCTGATCTGCTGTGCCCCATTCTGCTTCATCGCCTTTCTTACACCAGTCACAAACAAACTTCCACGCGTAGAGCTCAAAAGGAACCACTTCACGCGCTGAATGATATCAAGAGGGAGTCTCGCCTACGGCCTCGTACTTTGCGAAATATATCCAACTCATAGGTCGACGAGCCCTGTTGTCGTGGAGCGTACTCTTAATTTAACCCATTGTTACTCTCGTTAGAGTCACATTCTAGAATGAAACAGGAGCAGCACCAGGTAGCGAGCACGGATCACGTGCGTCTGTGCGTCAAGACATGGCCGGCGCGGCCGAGCTTCGACGGCGGGGAGTACGAGCAGCAGCAGAAGCAGGCGCTGCTGGCAGTGATCGTGCATCCCTACTCGCGCATGGGCGGCTCGCAGGCCGTTACACAGGGCCTGGCGGAATGCCTTTGTCTGCGCGGGTTCAAGTGAGTTTCCGAGCATTTGCCTTCGAGTCTTCTGAGGCTAAATCAGTAGCAGGCGTTGCTGCTGGCGGCGACGCGCTGCAGGACCGGGTTGCGGAATGCCGCCTTGCCTCCACGGGTTTAAGTATGTGGGGCTTTAGGAAGCGCATTCTTAGATCAACCACTTGTTATGCACAAATCATTCCAGTGCGGCGCTGAAACGTTAGGCTTTCCCGTTACAGCCGTTGACACTGCTGACGTGCGCAGATGGCATCCGCGCTCGACTAGAAGGCGCGGCTAGCCAAACCTTAGTGTATTAGGAAGGCGAGTTGGGCGCGGGATGAACGGAGACACCACGCGAGTTCTTAATGCAAGCTCGTTACAGCACGCGGTGTTACAATGTAGGTCCGCCTCCTCTCCTCCCCTCCTTCCTTTATCTCCTCTCCCCTTCTCCTACCCTCGCGCGCCACCAACCGCTCGTTCCCTGAACCCTTCGCCATTCGAGGAGCCGCAGAAGCCTCCGCCATCCAGCGGCGGCGGCGCAGGCCGCCGTCAGAAGCCTCCCCCATTGTGGCGGCGTTTGAAAGGACAGGCGCTGGCAAACCATCCAGCGAACCGACCAGCTGATTTCCTTCCTCACTACCTTCTTCCCATACTTCCCAAACGCCCCTCACGCCACACACCCGTCAGCGTCGCAACGTTCGACCTGAGGGCACGTGCCAGCCAGCTGGTTTCCTCTCTCATCGCCATCTCTCCCCTCCCCCCCCCCCTCTCTCCTCCTCTTTCCCCCTCCTCCTCCCCCTTCCCCACACCCTCGCTCCCCACACCCGACAGCGTGGTGACGTTCGACCTGCGGGGCGCGGGCAGGTCGACGGGGCACGCATCGTTCACGGGCGAGCCCGAGGTGGCGGACGTCATGGCCGTGTGCCGCTGGGCGGGGGAGAAGTACGCCCAACGCATACTGCTGCTGGGGTCGTCCGCAGGTGAGCGTGTGCTGCTGCTGAGCGCGTGGTGAGCGCAGGTAAGGGAGTGGTGAGCGTGGTGGTCGCCCGCAGGTGAGCGCGTGGTGCGTCTGCAGGTAAGGGAGTGGTGCAGGCTTCAAAACCCCCCCGGCCTATGAAACAGGCTAGTATGGAATCTGGCCGTGCCACAACCTCTTCATCACTGGCCGTGCCACAACCTCTTCATCACTGGCCGTGCCACAACCTCTTCATCACTGGGGCGTATTCCGCACTCAGATGTCCCTCGCACCCACTCCTATCTCCCATCCTCTCCGCCCCTTCCTCCACCCCCTTCCCCCTCCCCCCTACCTGTCTTTCCCTTTTTCGCTCTTCTCCCACCCTCTCCCTCCCTCCCCAACATGCAGGAGCCTCCGCTGCTGGCTCGGCGCTGCTGCACTGCCCGCAGGTGGACCTGTATGGCATCGGCTTCCCCTGGCCCCACACCCACCCTTGTTTCTCTCCCATTCTTTTCCCCTTCATCCCCTCCCTCCGCCCCCCACTTCATCCCCTCTCTCCCCATCTGCAGGAGCGCCCATTGCAGGCCCAGCCCTGCAGCACTGCCCGCAGGTCGACCTGTAAGTGGGCGTCGGTTTCCCCTGACCCCTCACACCCACCCTCTCTCCCATCCTCTCCCCCCTCCTCATCCCCCTCTTCCCCGCGCAGGAGCACCCATTGCAGGCTCAGCCCTGCCGCACTGCCCCCAAGTCGACCTGTACGTGGGCGTGGGCTACACCTTTGGCTTCTTCTCCTCGCTGCTCTTCGGTTCGCATTTCTCCACCGTGCTCGCCTGGCCGGGCCCCAAGCTCTTCATCATGGGCGCTAAAGACGAGTTCACGAGCATTAAGCAGCTGGAGGCGCGGGTGGGGAAGGCGGTGGGCGTGGCGAAGGTGAGCATTGTGGAGGGCGTGGGGCACTTTGGGCTGGAGGGGCCCGCGTATGACGAGGAGGTGGCCAAGCGCGTGGGGGAGTTTGTCGTTGAGAACGCCGGTGGTGGTGTTGCTGCTGGTGGTGCTGCTGGTGGCGGTGGTGGAGAAGGGGGTTCTGGTGGGGAGGAGGGGATCAAGGAGAGTGATAGCTAGGTGTTGCTGTAGAGGAGCTGATGTAAGACGACGGCTAGAATTTTGTCGGGGAGTTCATTCATTGCTCAGCTGGTGTTTGGGGATGGTGGGGAGGGGACAGTTGCTATGGGGAAATTCGATAAATAGAGCAGTCGCATGGTAATGATATATATGCTGCCTGAGAGTGCTCTCTTGGCATCTGATTTGGGCATTTAGTTATTGTTTAACAATTAGGTAAATTAATAGTTTCCTTCACCCCTTTTTGTGTAAGCTAGTATGGAAGGGATTCTTTCAAGTGATGTATTTTCCTGCATATTTACCTTGCCGCTTATCTATCCCACTCCCTTCTCATGGTATTTAATATTAGCCTTCTCCTTTTATGGGAGAGAGGAACCCTTACAAACAACATTTTAGAGAGTAACCTTTAAAATTTTTCGTTTTACTCGATGGGTATATTCTTAGGCTTACTGTAGCTGGACCCAACAGCCCTGCCCCGACAACTCCACGTTCCCGCGTCTCCCACAAACGCTACCCGTTGCACTTAAGCGGCTTGTCCGCACATGCCACACACACAACGAACAGTGCAGAGCAGATGCACCCACCCCGCGCCAGCCTCAGTATACTCGCTAGTGTAAATACCGCACGCACCGCACATAGTCCTCGCGTTGCGCTTTAGCATGTTGCGCCAGCGACGCGTCCCACCTCCGCTATCGTTCCCCGTTCCCCCTACGTTTCGCGTCTCGCGAGTGACGCGTGTCAGTGACAATCGTGGCAATTTAGCTAGCTCGCAGGCGCTTGCCGTGATCCGCAAAATGCTTCAGAGAGGCTCGTGTCGCGTCGAGGCGAGAGCACCAGAGACGAGACCAGCACCGGGGTGTGAGCGAGCAGCGGCGCGGCACAGCGGAGGGAGTAGCAGACTTGTAGGGAACATGTAGTAGCGACCGCCACTCGCTTGCACCATGTCAGGTCAGTCCCGCTCCACCGCTCTCCACCGCTCTGCCCGCCCTTCGGAAGAGAGCAACAGCCGTGAAACCGCATGGTACCGCTCTTCACCGCTGCCGTAGCGCCCCTCGTCGCTCTCTCCGTCGAGACCCGTGTCGCTGCACGGTCGCGCGGCGCGGAAGGAAAGGTGTTCCGCGAAGGCGGAAACCACCCGCGGCGTGCTCCGGAGTGCGCGCAACGGCGGTGCTGCCTGGGGGAAATGCGTTGCGCCAGCTCGAGTCTGCCCCTCTTTCTACAGGGATCGCGGCGCTTGCGTCCTCCCCGCTCCTCCCCCTCGCCCTCCCGCACCTACCTCTTTCCGCCCTCTCTCCCGGCAAAGCCTGCCCCTCCGCGGCCCTCCCCTCGCGCGCATGTCCCCCGCAAGCCTGCGCCAGTGCATCTCGAGGTTCCTCATGCGCGTCCCCTTTCCCCCCTTCCCCCCACCTCTCCCTCTCTCCCCCCTCTCAACCACACCTTCTCGCGCGCCTCCCGCCACGTCCATGTTTCCCCATGCGCCCATGCGCCCATGCGCCCATGCGCCCATGCGCCCAGGTGCCCACTACCTTCTTTCCACGAGCCCCTCTCCCCCCAGCATGCGCCAGTGCGTTATAGGTTGCCTGCCTTAGCTCCACTTTCCCGGCCCCCTTCCCCTCTCAGTCTTCCATCCCTCCTCCCCCGTTCACCCTTTTGCCTTCACCAGGCCGCCTGCGCCAGTGCATTGCTCCGCGGGTGGCGTGCGGATTCGCCTCCAGCAGCGACGATGAGGGGGAGGGGGGCGACGCTGGGCACCCCAGGGGGCGCGGAAGGAGGGGGGGCGGAGGGGGGAAGGGGAAGGGGAGGCGCGGAGCACCCGGGGGGCATGGTGGCGCGGGGGGGAGCTCCCGCCACCCGTCCCTGCGGATTGGCCCGCCAATGGACGTGCGCCAGGTGGCATATCCACACGAGCCTGCCACGTTGGACCCCCTGAATGGCGGCCTGGGGGCCATGGGCATGGGGATGGGGATGGGGATGGGGATGGGGATGGGGATGGGGATGGGGATGGGGATGGGGGGAGTGCAGGGACAGCTGGTGACGCTGGCGCTGCCGATAGTGAGCTACAGCAGGTGCGTGGCTCTGCCTGTCTGGAGTCCACAATGGTTCCTCCTCTCTCTCGCTCTCCTCCTGCCCACCACTTCATCCTTCCCCACCATCCACTCCACTGCTGCTCTCCCTCACATCTATCACTCTCTGCCCCACTATACCAACACCCCCAACCCCCTCCACTCTCCGGCTCTGTGTGGGCAGCAAGATAGCGCTGGGCGTGGTTGGGGAGGCCCCTCCTGTGCCAACATCTCTCCAACATTCCATGGCATGCCTCCCCAACCCCCCCCCTCCCCTCCCCCCTTTCCCTCCCCCTTTCCCTCCCCCCTTTCCCTCCCCCCTTTCCCTCCCCCTTTCCCTCCCCCTTTCCCTCCCCCTTTCCCTCCCCCTTTCCCTCCCCCTTTCCCTCCCCCTTTCCCTCCCCCTTTCCCTCCCCCTTTCCCTCCCCCTTTCCCTCTCCCTTCCTTTCCCTCCCCCTTTCTCTCCCCCTTTCCCTCCCCCTTTCCCTCCCCCTTTCCCTCCCCCTTTTGTTAGAATTCAAGAATATTTTATTAATGAGCCAAGGAGGCTCTATAGTACAAGCATGAAAAGAAGAGAAGAGTGGAGGAGGAGCTATCCCTATTGGCCACTAAGTTGGCCAATGGGTGAGGTGCCTTGTGGAATAGGAAACCCCACAATGTAGCTAGGTTGTGATTGGTTGGTGTTAGGACCAAAAGTTGGCAAGTGCCAACCAAGGACCAAGACCAAATCCAATCTTGACCAACCACAAAGTGTGGTTGGAGTGTACACCCAACCCTCCAAGAACATAAGGGACTACACCTATTCTAGCCTATGAATGTTGTATATAATGTACATTTACAACACAACCCCCCAACATGCATAAGGCTAGAAGATGTAATTAGGAGGCCGTCAAAACCGGAGGAGGGGTGAGGCTAAGGAGACGTAGAAGGAAGGAGTGGGATGCTTGGGGAAGGGCTTCGGTGAAGATGTCAGCGAGGTTGGCCGCCGAGTCGATTTTGCCTAGGCGAATGTGGCTGGCCTCAACGAGATCGCGAATGAAGAAGTAGCGAAGCTCAATGTGTTTGGAGCGCCCATGATACACAGCATCCGTGGTGAAGTGGATGGTGCTGGCGTTGTCACACCAGATGGTGGGACATCGTTGGGGGGCTCCAAGCTCATCAAGGAGGAAGGTGAGCCAGCGTGCTTCTTGCGCGGCCATGGTTGCAGCGTAGAGCTCTGCTTCGCAGGAGGAGAGGGCGACAGCAGAGGAGCGTGTGGACCGCCAGCTGATAAGACCGCTGCCCAGAGAGAAACCATAACCTTGAGAGGATCGCCGATCCGGTCGTGAATTAGCCCAGGAAGAGTCGCTGTAGCCGCTGAGGAGGGGTGGGGAAGGGCCGCCAAGGGTAAGGACATAGTCCTTGGTGCCACGAACGTAGCGAAGGACGCGCTTGGCGGCCTGCCAGTGCTCTTCCGTATGCTTGCCAGCGCCAACGAACCGAGCTAGGACGCTGATGGGGTAGGCAAGGTCAGGGCGAGTGGAAACCATGGCGTACATGAGAGAGCCGATGAGTTCAGGATAAGGATGGGAGGAGGGAGAGGGGGAGGAGTGTGGGGAGAGGTTGTGCCCAACCGAGAGGGGAGTGGGCCGGGGGTTGCCGCGCGCCATTTCAAACCGGTCCAAAACTTGCTGGAGGTAGTGACCCTGAGAGAGAGAGAGATGGTGCGGGCGGAGCGGTCGCGAGTGATGGTCATGCCGAGGTAGTGCTGCAGCTCGCCCAGGTCTTTGCACTTGAGACGGTTGCCCAGCTCCGTCTTGACACTCTCGAGCTCGGCAAGATCGGCAGTGAGGAGAATCATATCGTCAACATAGACGAGGATGTAGAAGGGGGAGGGGGAGGTATGGAGGAAGAGGCTGGCGTCAGAGCGGGAGGTGCGAAACCCAAGCTCAGCAAGGGTGGCAGCAAGCTTGGCATGCCATTCCCTGGGTGCCTGGCGGAGCCCGTACACTGGGCGGCGCAGCTGCCATACGGTGTGAGGATCTAAGATCGAGCTCAGAAAAGAGAATGTGAATTGAATCGAATTGAATGATCACCTGTGTACAACACGAGGCTATATATAGGCTCGACACAAGGCCCCGTAACCAGGTGTTACGCGAAGGTTCCGCGGGCCGCGTAGCGTCCCGAACGGATCCTTACCGAATTCGGTAGAAGGCAATTCGGTGGCAACCGAAAAAGCCAGAATTCGGTGCACGCAACCTAGCTCGGTGCTATAACTATAATAAAATATAGGAAAGCACCTAGCCTAGGAAATCAAGCAATTCATGCATGCATATGATTATCCTATGCTAGAAATAGCATGATAAAGTAAAGGCAAGCAAGCATAGCTGGCATAAGCCGTCGTACTCTCACACGTCCCCCCCTCAAAGCTGGGTGGCGTGAGATACACCCTGCTTGACAAGATAGTCCTTGAGAGCACGGCGTTCATTGCCATATCAGCTTCTGCAACCCAACTGTCCTCAGTGGGGTCGTATCCCTTCCAGCGTATCAGGAACTCGAGGGTCTTGCCGCCGCGGCGCCGATGAGTGAGAACACGTTCCACTTCGTACTCTGGTTCATCCTGTACGAGAACCGGTGGTGGTGGCGGTAGCTGCCGTCCCTGGAACTGTTGGTTGGGGTCCTTGTAGGGCTTCAGTAGCTGAACATGGAAAGCGTTGTGAAGCTTCCATGTATCTAGTAAGCGCAAGCGGAATGTAACTGGTGTCACCTGTGCCTCAACGAGAAAAAGACCACAGAAGCGAGACCGGAGTTTGGATGGGAGGTGAGACAGGTTCAAGTTGCGCGTGTCAAGAAGTACCTGATCTCCGACTGCTACTGAGTAATCACGTCGCTGACGATCGGCATACTGCTTCTGGGAGGTCTGCATCGTGGTGAGTCGTCGCTGAGTCTTCTCCTATAGCTGCTGCATGGTGGTGACTAGGTATGATCAAATAACCCGACCCGACCCGACCCGACCCGACTTTGGCGGGCCAGCCGGGTTCCGGGTCGGGTCGGGTCGGGTCGGAACTTTTGAGATCTCTGGCCCGACCCGGGTATCGGGTGCCGGGTCAGGCTTGACCCGCCCCCGGGTCGGGTCGGGTCGGGGCCGGGTCGGGTCGGGTCGGGCCGACTCCCATAGGCAGGGTTAGAGGTTCTCCTTAATAATGTGTAGGGGCGCGGGTCTAGCGACCTGCGCCTGCACGGCGCGCCGAGATGCCCTAAAACGCGGGCCTGCAATGCGCGCGCCTAGGGTGGGAGCGCGACCTGTAAATTTCGGATTTAAAAGAAACCCTAGGATGGATGGCGCGAAGTGCGAAGTGCGATTGGCTGAGTACTAACTAAACATTATCGTGGGTTCTAGGGTAGATTAGTACGCCAATGTTGCTTGGTGGGTGGCTGCTGGCGTCACTAGCTAGTTAACCTAACTTAATCCAGATCGAAATGCTAGTTGCTGGGAAAACAAGCAAGCGCGATAGCGATCTGGATAACATTGTCGAGAGGAAACCCTCGGGTCGGGCCAAATACCCAACCCGAGATAGGGCGCGGTACCCGAAACCGGGTCGAGTCCGTACTCCGGTCAAAACCCGACCCGACCCGACCCGACCCGGAATCGGGTCACGGGTCGACCCGACCCGGCCGGGTATACCCGACCCGACCCGGCCGGGTCAGTGGTTCAGAACTCCTGACCCGACCTGGGTCAAAACCCGGGTCGGGTCGGGTCGACCCGACCCGTCGGGTCTCTATGCTCATCCCTAGTGGTGACGAAGTCATGTGCGGCTTGGACGTGTGCCGGTGTAGTTGGCTGCTGTGGTGTGAGTGGTTCCCGTCCGTAACACAGGAAGAAATGAGTTTTCCTTGTGGCCGCATGTGATGCGTTGTTGTAAGCGAACTCTAGGGTTGGTAACTGTGTGTCCCAGTGGCTGACGTCGTCTTTGCAAGCTGTGCGCAGTAACTGTTCAACCACTTGATTGAGTCGCTCTGTCTGTCCGTCAGTCTGGGGGTGGTATGTTGAAGACATTGCAAACTTTGTCCCTAACAGTCCCATGAGCTCCTTCCAGAACTTATTTGTGAATTTTGGGTCTCTGTCTGAGATGAGTGTAGCGGGGACGCCGTGGATGGTGATGATGCGGTCGAAGAAGAGGCGAGCAGTTGCTTCAGCTGTAGCTGTGGCGTTGGTCGGTATGAAGTGACCCATTTTTGAGAACTTATCGATGACTACGAAGATGGAATCGTGTCACCGTGAGGTCGAAGGAAGTCCTGTGATAAAGTCGAGGCTAACGACCTGCCATGGCTGCTCCGGTACGGGAAGAGGCTGAAGTAACCCTGTTTTTTTCTGCTTGCTACTCTTCATCCGCTGGCACGTGTCGCAAGAGGTGACGAACTGCTGCACGTCTGCTGCCATCCCGGGCCAGTAGTAATACTTTGCTATCCCTGCTAACGTCTTGTTGCTCCCGAAATGTCCCGCGTAAGGTACGTCGTGAAACTCCTCCAATAGGATCTGCCGTAGCGGGGCGTAATTCGGTACCCAAATCTTTCCTAAACCCTTCCTTACAGCTAAGTCTTTCTCCCACTGTAACAGCTTCTGTTTCTCTGCCGTTGCTATCTCGCCGTCCACGGAGTACCCATGTTGGAATAGACCCTTGAGCAGAGGGTTCATCCCGTCGAGCTGGATGCCTGCTACATGTCCGGGGCGGCTCAACGCGTCTGCCTTGTTGTGTAGCCCGGGCTTGTAGACGATGTCGTAGTGGAAGTGAGTTTCTAGGAAGTCCACCCACCGCACCTGTCGTCGTGAAAGCGTCGGCTGCGACTTTATGTATTTGAGACTGCAGTGGTGAGTAAATAAGAAAGTCGTCCAGGTACACCACTATGCACTCGTCCAGTAGGGGTCGTAAGATGTGATTCATCTCCGCCTGAAACGTTGCTGGTGCGTTGCAGAGTCCGAACGGCATCACCAAGTATTCGTAGGAGCCGTATCTGGTACGGAACGCCGTCTTGTGGACCGAGTTGTCCGCCATCTTGATCTGCCAGTAACCCGACCGTAGGTCCAGCTTCGAGAAGACTGTTGCACCACGCAGGTGGTCCAATAGGTCGTCTATGCGCGGTATGAGGTATTTGTTTTTAACTCTCTGTTTGTTCAGTGCATGGTAGTCGATGCACATCCGTAGACTGCCGTCTGGTTTTGCATTGAAGAGAACTGGTGCACCATAAGGAGAGGTGGATGGGCGGATCAGTTGTATGTCCAGTAGATACTCTATCTGTTTTTTCATGTCTGTCAGTTCGGTCGGACTCAGTCGGTATGGTGCACGTGAGACGGGTTTCGCACCTGGTTCCTCCACGATCTCGTGCTCGTGGGTGCGTGCTGGAAGTACTTCTACGGGTAGGTCGTCGGGCATCATATCCTTGTACTACTCCAAGACCTCATTCATTGCTGCAGGTAGTTCGGAACTCGGCTTCTCCTCCTCTGCTGCTGCCATAACCAGTGCTAAGTAACCCGTG